CTAGTTTCTCATCTTTAATGCACATGTAAGTAGGCTAGTCTAGTACACGTCTTTCTAAACTTCCTCTATGTGGGCATATTTGTCAATGGGACTGGCTGCGGTCACTTACATTTTTATGTAATGGAGGCCAACTTCATTAGGCAACTTAAAAGGTCATTGGAGCTGCGGAGAAACGGGTGCAAAGGCACTCGTCAGACAAAGAGCAATTAACGGTAGATCGAGAAATTTTACCTTTAGCATGCTCTGATAGAAGACGTCACTGAAGCGTGTGTTCTTCTGAATTCTTTCGATCAGTCTACACAAACGACGCAAGGTTACTTCGGCCCCTCCGCAGGAGAATTGCCAACTTCAAGCATCAACAATATCAGAATATTAGTTTGGCGAGTGTATGTATACTTTCGATAAATTCTCGTCAGGCCAATACATTTATATGGGAAGGGGGTGCATGTTAAAACTTATATGTCTATTCGTACAAGTGAGTTGTGGGAATGGGGGGGGAGTAGTAGATAAGAGAAGGCTGGGTATGAGGGCAGGGTTTGGTGGAGCATGTTTTCAGATGTTCGTATCGACAATGAATTAGAGAAACTAAAAGAAGCGAAACCACCAAGCCCGCACCATATTCCACCCAACTTTCTTAAAGAACGTTGTACATATATATGTTGGGAAAGCCGCCATTCCCACGATGAGTCAAAGCACCGAAAAGCGCCTGAGCGCCGCTGCCACGAGAGCGCGCGCCGTAACTATCGATTTCTCGTCATAGCTGATTGGTGGTAATTACGTGTACCAGGTAAGGGTCATAAGGGGGAATGCCTCTGTCAATGCTGTTTCGAACTTCATTTGACTCCGGACCACTTCTTGTTGATTGGAAGTTGGTGAATGAATAGCTTTCCAGGCGTCCGTGACTACTTACAGGCCCACACATACCTTTAGGGAAGACCTCGCTGGACCGCCTAATTTCGCTTCCAAAGCAAAGTGAGCGCTCCGTGACTAAACGCCTCCCGCTGTGTAAATATCAGGATTATCAGACTACTATTTTTGACTAATTTGGCATTATTTCATGTTCTTTTAAAATAAACATTCTCAAAAATACTTTTCATAGCACTCTCCTACATGTAGTTTCTCAATTTTCTTGAATATTGTCGAGTCAAGGGAGCATGCATTTGAAACAGCGACGCGTGGTTAGGAAGCGACCATTACCATAGAGTCTAATCACTTTAAATGTCCTTCTATCTCCCTACAGTTTTAATTCGATTTTGGTTTAGATGAACGTTCAAGCAGGGACTAAAACTGCAGAAGCTTGGCAAGTGAGGGCGGTTTCAACAGAGTCTTCACTCCCCTACAAATTGTTTTGGCCGATGAAAACCTCTTGAAATATCGTTTTCAAGTAACGAGGGAGACGACCAATTCTCGCCAAACCCTCAACGGAGGCTACATTGCAACTCTAGTTGACTTCATCTCTAATGTGGACCTCCTGCGTGGAGGACGTCTTCAGCACGTCAGTGTGGAGTTAAGCACTTCGTTAGTTTAATTATTATTATTCTTTCCCTAACACTCCGCTAAGTATATCAAGGCGGCGAAGATTGATTCATGGGTCATCGTTGAATCTAACATAGTCAAACTAGGCAAGATTCTAGCCTTCTGTGAAGTTTCCCTGTTTGACGAGGCCTCAGGCAGCCTGCTTGCTAAAGGCAAACATGCCAAATGCATGTTTTCGTAACTCAACTACCATTTATTTATCTTCCGGTCTTCAGGCCTTCATACATTTGTACTCCTATTTTATGATTGACTTTTGAACTCTCGCCTGCAATTATTTCGTCATTATGTCTTTCATGCATTCTTGTATTCACCAAAATTCATATTCACGATCGATACCGGCAAGAACACGAGCCCGTGACCCAATGGATTAGAGCGGGTGTTTGAGTCTCGGGTGGTGAACCAACTGGGGTTGGGTATGGTTGGCTGATGAGGGCCAACGAGCTAGAGGTGGCCCTTCAGTTCTCCCTTGTTTTGTTCGGCAGTGTTCATTAGCCTATGTAATTAGCCGCTGTGTGGCTGCTGACGTGGCTCGAGATTGGACACAAAAGCTGGAACGCAACGGGTGGGTCCCGTAACCGATCGATGAGTGTCCATCCATACAGATTCAACTGTATAGAAGCAAACATGCGTGCTCCGGGTTCTCGTTGTGAAGAAGAAGCCGCGATCTCTAGAACGGCAACTTTATTCTTCTGAGCTTTCGGCTCTACACGAGAAGCCATCGTCAGAGAAAATGAGAAAGTAGCAAACGTTGGCTACGCGTAAATAGGGGTGGCACTTGTGATTGGTCCATGCTCACGCCATCTTATCGTGTCTCCCCTACGCGCGCCCCCGGAGTTATGGCGTGTGACCTTGACGTGGCAGCCTGTGTGCTTGGACAGGAACTGGGCCGTGGTTTCTGGTCACGAGCATGGATAGCAAAATAACAGGGCGGTATATCCACGTGCTTGTTGATGGAGTTGGCGTCTGATACCCAGGCCTCCAGTAGTTCTCGCGCGGCGCGTGCCATTATCCGTGTGCCCGAGATTGGGCATGGAGCAGCCACAAGTGCCACCCCCCTCCCGCCCCCATTTACGCGTATCCAACGTTTGTTG